TATAATATTATAAATCGATTGGAAATGTAATTAAAAGGGAACAATATTGGAAATTAATTGAGAGTTCAAAAGATTAATAATTGTCTATTATAATTAATATTATATACAGTTAATTGATATAATCATAATACTCACCGTTATTAAGATTAAATACAATACGTGTGAAATGTCAACCGTACTGCAAGAGATCATGTTAACGATCCATGGTAAGAGGAATATTCGCTTGTCCTGAAAAAAGAAATAAAAGAAAATAAAACAAAAAGAAAGAAATAAAGAACGAAAGAAAGAAAGAAATAAACATATAAAGGGGAAAATTCATTCATTTGAAATTCGACAAGACGACAAAAACGAAAGTTTATGACTTATTAAGTTTTAAATATTCTCTCGGTACTCGAATATAATACCCTCATCCATTTTAATTTCTCACTTACCTGTCTTCTTGGTTAACTTGAAAAAGTATTTAAAACAAACCGAGGCCAATTTCTTTATGGTCACTGACAAGAACTTATCATGTTTTTTCATAAGATTAAATTATACGCGATCGAGAATTCAAGGTTTTTTCTCTCTTCTTTTTTTTTTCTTTTCTATTCTTTTCTTTTTTATAAGCGAGTACTTTTTTTTTCACAAAGAGAAAAAGAAAAAAAAATATTTTACGAACGTTATAATATATTTCTCTTTGGGGAAAGTACTTATATACTTTTATATTTCTTTATCAAAGCTTATTATACATTTTCTTTTGATACGTGGTTTTCTATCTAAAAATATATACAATTAATATAAAAAATAAAATATTGATTATCATACTTTGTATACATTTATAAATAATTCGACTTCCATTTAATTAGATTTTATTAATCGGGTTAATTGATATAATTAAAAATATGTTATCCAAACCATTTCTTTTACGAAATTTAATATTAATATTAATCTTTAATTTAATTTTGAATGAAAAATTACAATTCATATAATATTAAATATTAATCGTTATATTTTACGTACACAGATTCGATTTCGATTGATTGAATTAATCCAATCGATTGATGTAATTCAAAATTATATACGTACCAAATTTTTCAATAGATTAATTTATCTAAATAGTTTTGGATAAATATGAAATAAAATATTTTATAGTTAAATTTTACATAATATACAGATAAATAATTAGATTTCCATCGATTGATATTCTCTTTGTTTCTCTCAACTATTCTTGAACGATAAAACTTTAAAGTTGTTGTGTAAAGAGCACCGACAGCAATACACCGAAGTACTTAGCCCTAATTTTGGACAGATTGATTATTAATAGCATGAGCTAGATTTAAACGATTAGGATAAGTAGTTGGCAAGTTCTACTTAAGCATCAAATTTGTAACATTAAATTGCTTTTGGTTGAGATGAAACAATCGAAAAGTTTGACACTTTTGATTGAGTTACGTTTTTTTGTTTAAATTGAATTGACACGTCTTGGAGATTTATAAAAATAAAAATAAGAAAAGAGAAGGAAAGAAAAAGATAATAATTCGATTAGAAAAGAAGTAAGATCGTTGTAAACATGTTTTCGCAAACGGGAAGGAGGGGAGGGGGATTAATGGACGAAAATCTCAAATGGGTCGTTTGTTGTATAATTCTATGGTACACGCTAAAACAAAATTGTAAACCCTCGAAGACTTTCCTACCTTCCTTCCTTCCTTCCTTTCTCTCTACCACGGGTTTCATAATTATTCCGTGCAGAAGTTTAATTAACTAACCTTTTAGAAACTAACCGTTTCGATGTATATGAGGGAACTAAACACGCGGAATCAAATAAATTAACTTCAATTAAACGATAAATTCTCAATTAAATCAATTATTATATTAAATTTTTTTCTTTTCTTTTTCATTAATTTCATACAAATTTATATATATAAGAGAAAAGTAGAGAGAGAGAGAGAGAGAGAGAAAGAAGAAGAGAGAAAAAGAACAAAAGAGAGGAAAATAATTTTTGTGTTATATTATTTTTCTTTCTACGTAATTTCAATCACGCAAGAAAATTACAACGAGAGAGAAAGAGTGTGTGTAAGAGAGAAAGAATGAGAGAGAGAGAGAGAGAGAGATGCATGAAAAGTGAATGAAAAAGAGGAGAATAAAATTAAACAATGAAAAACAAAAGGTAAGGGAACAAAAAGTAAAGGAAAGAAAAAGAAAACATAATAGCTTTGCGAGAAAGGAAACTCATAAAATATTGATCATAATGGGGATGGGGGGAGGGGGATTGTTAGCCTTCTCTCTCTCTCTCTCTCTCTCTCTCTTTAGCACGTTTTATACTTCCTCAAAAGATTTTCTTTGTATAGGAAGAAACGGTGAGTTGTGCGAGGCCGTGAAGAAAATCACAGAAAAAGAAGAAGGAAGAAGGAAGAAGGAAGAAGGGTGGTGCGTTTCACCGTAAAAATTAATCTTTTTCTCATTTAGATAAACTTGCTTATTTTATATAAAATAAGCGAAATATAAATAAGAAAGTGAAGTAGAAGAAAATGAAGAAGAAGAAAAAGAAGAAGAAGAAAAAGAAGAGGGTTGTATTAGATAGGTACATATATTTCGCGATGCAACTTCGACTGTTGGCTTTTCTATATCAAGGAAAGGTAGGAAACGTAAGGTTGTTTATTAACGGTGTGAAAGTGGAAAATTTATATCTCGTGAAAATAGTAGCCGGTTGAGGCAAATAACGTTAGAACGATAAGAGAACGTACGAGCCGTTTGGAAACATGAACGACGTCGGAGATAAACCTTCCTCTGTATCTTTATTTTTTTTTCTCTTTTTT